TCCAAACAAGGTACGTAATCCCGATGTGGCAAACATGAAACCGACTGTAAACAATAGAAAAAATCATAAACGCCAGCAAAAAAAAAAAATTTGCTTTAAAAAATAAAATTAAAAAAATTTTTACGTTGATTTGAATTTCAAGTCTCCCCATTTCAGAATTATTATTATTTAACGTCTTGTAAAATATTTTCAATTTTAATTTTGGTTTCGTATAATTTTTATCATTCGAAATTGTATTTTTATCCAGGAGTGAAAAATTTTTCACGTTGAAAAAATTTTCTTTTTCATTCGTAAATTTAAATTGTGATTTTTTTTCCTTTTTTAAATTTTCTATAAAAAAAAACAATACAAATTATTATTATTATTATTATTATTATTATTATTTACGCGCACGCGCACACACATAATAATAATAATAATCTCACCTGTTTGATAAATGACGTAATCACGATTATCATTAATCCACGTATTCCAATTTGATTGAAGGCAAACGTGAGATGATGACGTCTTATCATCATTTGACACATCAGGAACGATTCCTAATATTTGATTTTTTATTATTTTCCTTTTTTCTCCTAAAAATAATAATAATAATAATAATAAATAATAATTTTGTACTAATAATAATAATAATAATAATAAATTTATTTATTAACTTTTTCTTAGGTATTCGAATCCCAAACAACCGGGTCCAACGAAACAAGACACCACAATGATGGTCAAAATAATTAAAAAACCAGCTCCGGCAAGAATAAAAGTTTTTTCCCAAAATCCCAACAGCATGACGTCACTTTACGCCCACGTGCACGCACGCACGCACGCACGTACAAATAAAAGAAAGAAAATTTGCCGCGCGCGCGTGGTGTTGATATTTTTAGTACGTTAATGAAATTACAAAATGTCGCATTTAACCTGCGAAAAATAAAAAAATGATAATAATAATAATAATTAATTAATTACATAAAATTCTATTAATAAATAAATAATTATTTTATCGTGAATAATTTATTTAATAAAAATAAAAAATGTTACGAAATTTATATTTTTTTGTTTTTTGTTTAATATCCAACCTTCACATCGTTTTTCCACTCGAACAATTTAATTTTTTTTTTTTTTAATACGACAAACAAACAAACAAACAACTAAAAAAAAAAAAACTATTATTATTATTATTATTAATAAATTAAATTATTAAACAATAATTATTATCAGATGTTGGAAAAAAAAAAAAAAACGCCACTTGATGAAAAACCCGCATGAAATTATTATTATTATTATTATAACAAACAAAATCACTTTTTAATCTTTTGTTTGTTTCCTACAACAACAACAACAACAACAACAAATTTACGTAAAACATTTAAAATGAAACCGCGTTATTATTATTATTATTATTATTCCAACCCAAAAAAAAAAAAAAAAATTTTATAAAAACTTTTCAAATTTTTTTTGTATAAACTAAAAGACACAAAAACAAATCGTTCTCGTTTACTATTGTTTATTCCGAAACAAACAATTACTAATTATTATTATTATTATTATTATTATTATTATTATTATTATTATTATTATTATTATTATTATTATTATTATTATTCATAAATGTTAATTCGACACACAAAAAAACAAAACAAACAAAAAAATGTTTTTTTTTTTTTCTTTTAATTTAATGAACCGCATATAATGATTACCAAATGAAATGAAAAAAAATTTTCCTTTCAAGAAAAACAAAAAAAAAATCACTACCGGTATTAATGATGATGATGATGATGATGATGATGACGACAGCGGTGATAATAATAATAATAATAATAATTACGGAAAATCTTCAAAAAGTGAAATATAGTGAAGTGTTCAATGATTTTTCTCACAACGTATCCGCGTTTGATTCTTTTTTAAAATACATCGATTTTTTTTTTTTTTTTTTTTACCCAGTTGGCAATACGACAATAATGATAATAATATATATATAAAAAATTAAAAAATTAAACGTACGAAAATTTAAAAAAAAAAAAAACACACTCACTGCCCCCCGTGTCGGGTCCATAAGAAATATACCAAACCACCGATTTTCGATAGAGAAAACGAATAAAATAATTTGAACTTTGACCTTGATTATTATAACGTATCACCTTGAATTTCGTCGTTGCAAAACTAACAAACAATAAAAGCTTTATAAAAAAAAAACTAATTAGTTTTTAGTATTTTTTTTTTGTTTAAACGACACCTGACAAGTGTTAACTTCTATCGTTTGTAACGGTCGTTTTAGTCTAGCATTAAATTTTTTTTCCCGTTTTTTTAATTAATGTCCGACATTTTTCCTGTTGTTTTTTTTTAAATCAAATTTCCTCGCGTTTTACGATTATTATTATTATTATTAATAAATAAAATAAACCGCACGAGAAAATTTCATAGAGTAAATAAATTTTTTTATTTTTATCCTTAAGAAAAAATAAATAAAATTAATAAAAATATTTTTTAAATCGATTCCATGTCAAATTGTTCATTTTAATCGATGTGACAATCAATTAATTAATTTTTTTCTTTTTTTTTCCACCCTCTCTGAATAAATTACCGGAAATTATTGACAAGGTCGGAAACTGAATGTCTCGCAGAAGCGGAAACAGGATTTTAACTCACAAAAAATTAAAATAAAAAGATTTGAAAGGTTGCCTCGAAATATGATGATTGTGGTGATGGTATACTCCTGTGATCCAGGAGGATAGGTATAGAGGATGTTTTAGGGGGAGGGGGTTCTGGAATTGGATTGCTCACGTTGACTAGGCGTCCGTTAGGGGTTGAAACTGAAGTAGGAGAGCCCGAGGTAGAGTTAAAAAAGGGGAAAAATCGGTTCAAAAGTCACCGAGTTGAGAGTCGTGGGTTCTAATTTTGGAAGTAGAAGTTCAAATAAATGATCTAGCACCCTTTCGAGGCATTGGGGATACGCCGACCCTTGTTACGGGGGGGGGGTGAGTTTGAGTACTTGATCCAAAAATAGGGTAAATGAGGAGCTGTGACGTGAAAGATAAACGATCAACAGAATTCGCGCCCCGGACATCTCTCTCTCTCTCTCTCTCTCCCCAAAAACTCGCAGACTTTGTGAAAGAGGCAGGAACAATCGAAACTGTCTCTCGAAGGGTAAAAAGGGGAAGTATCGGGATTTTCCTCAGGTGGGATTCCCTCCCTCACGAGTGTGGGCCTGGCTCAGGAGGAGGTTAAGGTTGAAATGCAGAATAAAAACTCCCGCAAGCGCCCCTCCCTCCGGGAAAAAGATGAAATACATCTAGGACTTTTAGATGGGTAGTGGCTTTGGCTGAGTCCCCCCACACTCTCCCTATTACCGGGTGGGAAATTAGTGCATTTTTCCCGGGTTAACCAAAAAATATGATCGTTTCGCATAATATACACATTTTTTTTTTTTTCATAATTTGAATTTCATTACCTTCTGAAACCCCGTAACAAAAATTACAAAATTACATAATAATAATGATGATAATAATAATAATAATCGCATTTTAATAGTTAATAAAATGAAATATTTTTATTATAAACGAACAATTTTGGAATTTTATCAAAAACATATTAAAAAAAATTTGTCATTTGTGTTTTTCTTTTCACCCCACCTTTCCCCCCTCCCCTACTTCTTTATTAAATTAATAATAATAATAATTAGCAAAAGAAAAAAATTTTTAAAAGAAACGCGTCGTAGATTTAAAAGGTTACGAGTCGAAATTTTTTTTACCATTTAAAAAAAAAAAAAAAACGTGAGCAATCAAAGGTTAATTTAAAAAAAAGTTTCTTACTCTATGCTTACAAAGAGTAAATAACATACAAATAATTTTTAAGGGGTTAATTAAATTAATTATAAATCGAATGAAACGATTCGTCGTCGCAAACTTTCTTAAACGTGTCAGCAGAAGTAACGAACCGTTGGAAAATTATTAATTTTTTTTTCGCTTTCGCATTGAATGGGTGCAGTCGGGAAAGGACGGGGAGGGGAGGGGAGGGGAGAGAGAGAGAGAGAGAAGGACATTAATTAGTGATAACAAGATGATGATAATGCTAAGTTGGTAAGCAAATAGGTGCGGTCGTATTACACTAATAATTGCATAAAGTGCATACACAAAATGCATTTTACTCTTTTGACATATTGAGAAACGCACACGCACACACACACTGATTTCAAATGAATAAAAAGAAAACTTTAAACAAATACGATTTCCCCCCGTTTTAATATTTACAATTTCATTAATGCCCCGTTTTTTTTGCAAAAACTTTTCCCCTTTTTCCCCCTCACCCCCCCCCCCCCCCCCCCTATTCAAAATCCCCCCCGGAGGGGGAAGTCAAATAAATAACAAAAACAATTTGCACAAAAAAAAAAAAAAAAGAAAAGAAAAAATTTCACAATTTACAAAACGTTTTGCAACAAACAAAAAAAAAGAAAATTTTTAAATAATAATAATAATAATATTTTTGTTTTTGGTTGTTGTTCTTGTTGTTGTTGTTGTTGTTTGGTTGTGTGGGTAAAAAAAAAAAAAAATTAAAATATTATTTATTTATATGGTATGCGCACGTGTATACGCGCGTTTGTGTGGTTTTTTTTTTTTTTCGTATTCGGCCTCGTGCGATTTTTCAAATAAAAAAAAAATTAAATAATAATAATAATATTTTATATGTGAACAACTTTTTATTCTCTCAGATGCAACAATCATCGCCGTTTGTTTAAATCAATAATAATAATAATAATATTTTCGAAAGGGGTTTAATAGTGGTTGTATTTTAGTGTTTTTTTTTCGTTTTAATTAATATTTTATTTAATTAATAAATAAAAAAAAATCATGAACGTTTTCCTTTGGATATTTTACTACTTATTAAACTGTAAGTTAAATTTTATTATTATAATTATTTTTTTTTTTCGTTTTAATAAATTTCGATTATTATTATTATTAATTTATAATTTTCGGGTTTTGAATTTTAAAAAAAAAAAAATTTTCAACAAAATTTTGACAAAAATATTTAAATCGTGGCACTAAAAAATTATTATTATTATTATTTTTTTATTTTTTTGTTAAATTTAATGATTTTTACAATCGATTTTATTTATTTATTTTATTTTTGAAACTTTCCCGCCTGCCTCTCTCTTTCCCCCCCCCCAAAAAAAACGAAAAAAACTCGTTTAAAACCTAGCTTCTTCTAGTATCCAAATTTTTTAAAATAATATTATTATTATTATTATTAATAAAATATTACGTAATAAATAATTTCGCGTTTGTAAAATTTCTTACACGTTTACGATTGATAATACTAATTTTCAATTAAATTTTCATTATCATCATTATTACCATTATTATTATTATTATTTATATATTAAATGACAATTTGAAATCATTATTATTATACTCGCGTTATGTAAAAAAAAAAACCGTTAAAAATATTTTTTAAATGACGTGTTAATAATAATAATAATAATAATTGGGGGAAAAAAAAAATTTTTTCACGAAAAAAAGAAAAAAAAAAAACGTGGACAAAAATAATAATAATAATAATACAAAAATTTCCTAAAATTCGTCATCATCATCATCATCATCGTATTTTAAATTTCGAAATTTTTAAAACGAGAAAACTTGGTCAAGTTTAAATCAACTTCATTTAAACGAAGAGGGAAATAGAGAGAGAGAGAGAGAGAGAGAGAAAAAGAGTGAAAGAAAGAGAGAGAGAGAGAGAGAGAGAGAGAGATGGAAAAAAGGCATTTTTCAAATTTTCAATTTTACGTTTTACGTAATTAAAAAAAAAAAAAAAAAAAAAGAAAAAAAAAGTTTAAAAAGTGAAAATTTCAAGTGTGAATTTTTAATTGTTTATAATATTTTAATTTTTTTAAATTAATTATTACGACAACAACCGCTCCAACAACCACAACAACAACAACAACAACCATTTTTTTTCGAAAGAAATCGTGCGTAAATCACACACACACACACACACACAACACGTCATACATACGTCACATAATAAAATTTAACAAAAGAATAATTATTTATAAAAATTTCTTTTTCTCGGGGGAGGGAGTGGGGGAGGGGGGGGGGTAAAACCCGAAATTTAAAATTAATAATAAATTTATATATATATACTTACGAGAGAACGGGGTCAATATAAGAGAAAAACCTTAAATAAAATATTAATTTTATAATTTCAGATTTCAGTAATGGATTTATCATACCTAATGAAATTCCAACCA